AGAAGAGAACAACGTTTCTCTCTCTCTCTCTCTCTCTCTCTCTCTCTTTCTCTCTCTAGATTTGTTGTGAGATGCGGTTTCACGGTGAAGCCGTCGCGAGAGAGAACTTCGACGACGTTTCCGATTGTTTGCGGTGCAAGCTCCGTCGCCAGAGTCGGGGATCTAACTTTGGTGCGATCGCATGTTTCGAACAGTGCCCGAGGTGCGAATCGATGCATATACATTCCCTCTTCAATGACTATGTTATATACAACCCATATACACTCATAAACACCTGTACCCATAGCTAGGTATATACCCAACTAGGTGTTGGTATATCTACTTGTTAGATGTACATACCTGGTTAGGATGGGAAGCTTGATATCAGGTTTATTCAATACATACCCTTTGCTTCCTAATGCGAAAACAAAGTTTCGTGTAAATAATGTCTATGTAATAACTAGTCGATATTATCCGGCAAACAATCTGTGGCCTACCATTACAAACTCCCGTCGAGTCTCTTTGTCTGATACAATTAGCGAATGCTTGAAAAGGATCCTTTACCTTTTATCCAACACCTCTCTCTCTCTCTCTCTCTCTCTCTCTCTCTCTCTCTCTTTTATAACTAGCATCAATTTTCATCTAACTAAACGAATACGATGTGCATTAGAAAATAAATTTCATTTTTTCCGATACATTTTACTACTTCTTTTGTAATTACTAATAGGGATTCGTATTAGTAATAAATACATTTACAATTCATTGAACTTAAATGATACAAAAGAGATATAAATAGAAAGAGAGGCAAATGCTATGTGACTAAACCTTTCGCACTCCAATTATTTTTGACCCGATTGTTAGTCAGTCCCAATTTAGCTTGTTTCCGTATTTTGTTATCGAATATAATCATTTTTACGCATCGATAATGCCGAAAAAGAGGATACATGAAACAACGATGATAACGGTAGACGATATTATTCAATATATTTATTATTTAAATTCGTTGACTTTACGTGCAATTATATTGGGTTGGAGAAGAAATTTCTTCGTGATTTCTCGAGTAACGATACTGATGTTTCAATTCCTCTCAAGCTATTGTATTTTTTGATTTACTGGTATAAACATTGGTAGAGAAAAAAGAACATGTATATATATATATATTATATAGTTCAATTTACTCGTGGATATAATCTGTGGTCTATCGAGAACTGAAACAGCAAGGAGAAATGGACTTTGAATTTGCGGTCTAAGCGTAAAAGGAGACACGTTCAATCGCGCAGATGCACTTGGCTCCTGTAACGACTACGACGATGACTACTACGACGAAGACGACGAAGACGACAATAATGCTCGAAGGCGAGCAACCGAGTTCAGTTTCTCGAGCCATTATTTACGAATCGCATTACTCCGATGCACACACACCGCACGGCCAGAAACTTTCAGTAATGGAGTATATTCTCCTCGACAACTTACAGCGTCTTCTTTTTTTTTTTTTATTCTTTCTTTCTTATTTTCTTTTCTGGGAATCAATGTACCGACAAACTTCGAATTACCGTCGCGACGCCAGACGTTTCTCTACCCCAACTTCTCATTCTCTCAGTTTTCACTATCTCATCGCAAGCTTGCAAGTTCAGAAATAAGTGCCAATATGGAAACACTTATTTACATTTCTTGCTAATCAAAATAAATGATTATTTCGAAAAACTCAAAATTATACAGTCGTTTTAAAAATGATTTTCAAAGTTAGGGCTATGATTTTATAATCATTACCAAAATCTTAATGGTAGGGAGACTGAGCTATATTTTAACAGACCAATCGCCATTTCGTACAAAATGGAGCTGTTGCTGCCATCTCTCGAAGAAACGTATCAACTACCTCGAAAGCAATTCATATGTGTTCACGGTGCATTACAGGACGCAGCCTTTTTTTCTATTACTTACTAATGCATCACGCGATCACACGATTATATTAAAATTGCTTCAAATATTTTACCCAAGATTGTATTAACAATAAGATAGAAAATTTATATTCAATATGCAATAGTTCGAATATAAACCAAAAACACGTTTGCGGAAAAATACAAATGCCATTTCTCTTTCCATCATCTTTCATTCTTCCTACTGCATATTTTCTAAATTGTTTTTCAACCTCACCGTCGGGATAAATAATTTTCACATCTTACGTTGCACGCGTTCTCTTCCTCATGCTTGATTTAAGATTGACGATGCTGCTTCTTTTGAAAACATTTTCCCACTTAAATTACGATATACACTTTTGGCTGACCTACTTCGACAACCACATTCTACTTACCAAAACAGTACTTGCGATATCTCAAAAGTCGTGATCCTGGAAACTGAGATCACGTAAATGAGAAAGAACGTACCCGAGGGATCGATAATTCATCTTGTTTTCTAAAATTTTCCTATCTTTATATATTCCATGTGGAGTTCGTACATTAATGAGAATCAAGGATAACAAAGGATAGAATACGATAATGATTATTTATACGAAATATAAATTAAATCCAAGTATGAATTTCGTGTTCTGTTTTTTCAGTGAAGCCGAATCTTTAGGACACCGCGTATATGCCAGCTTAAGTAGCAACGATATCGATCGAAAGAATTTTCCCAATTCCCATGAGAAAATTGTCCATGGGAATTCGAAACATCGGGCTAGCATCCGTGAAATGGAAGAAAGGAAGATACGAAACTTAATATGTACCACAGGATAAACGTAGTCAGTAGAAAAAAGAAAGAAAGAAAACAAAATATTCTTCTGTTCACCCTCGTGAAAATGTTACGGGTTACGTGGACAAGGGTTTATCTTAGCACCCTCGTTTTCTCCTCTACTCTACACACAATTCTAACTTTTTTGTGAGTGTGCACGTATGTATACCTCGTACTTTCTCGTTTTGTGCTTTATTTCATTTCTCTTTGTCTCTAGCAGGAGTAAAAGAATACATGACAATAAAAAATGTGTTCTTTCAGAAAAGTAGAGAGGATTAAACGTCGCGTCGCATTAGACAAGCTGATCTTAACGATTATCTCGATACGAGTTAAATCCTGACGCAAGCGAACACGTGGAAGAGGAAGGGATCGAATTCGCGATTTGGTTCAATGTTTCATTTCGATGGAACGTCTTATCGTCCTATTAGAATGGAATTAAACAGAATAGACGGCTTTGACTGTTAAATCGCTTAATCGGATCGTATCGATCCGTTTGCTAAGACCGCAGCAGGATGAAGAAGGAAGAGTATCTTTTGACGAACTCAGACGAGAACGGAGTTGGATAGGGGTTGTGAGTGGGTGGAGGGATCTAAGGAACCAGAGGGTAGGAGGAGGAGGAGGAGGAGAAGAAGAAGAAGTAGGAAGGAAGTGAAAAGAAAAGAAGTAGAAAAAAACGAGTACACTCGTGGAAGGAAACTTCCACTTGCACGGATATCTGCATAGCGAGAAAGCCTCAAGAGGGAACTTTACGAACAGAATTCGTAACGAACCTTTACGTCTCTTTAAGTCTTCGTTCGTTCATTCGTTCGAAGGAGGGTGGGGAGGGAGCAACAAACCCGAAGGAAAGGAAAGATCAGTTCGAGGATTCGTATCCTTTCGTGTCCCGACTTCACTTTACGTCCTTTCTGTAGCGCCCCAGGTAATTAGATTCACCGTTCGAGATCAAAGTGTACCGCCATTTCCATCCATGCCGGTAGCTTCTTCCGTACTTTTTTATTTTGTCACTTTTTCTCCACCCCCTTTCATTTTTTCTTTTTTTTTTTTCTTAGCTTTCTTTCTTACTTCTCGATTGACGTAGTGAAGCTTTACGTTCATGAACTTGCCGAAAGATTACGGACAGAATGTTTACTTTATTTTCAGTGGAAAATTGAATTTTGACTATAGATAAAGTATAGTAATTAACAAACATAGAAAACAAAAACATGTATATATATATATATAAATTAGGTAAAATAAACGTCTAAGTTTTTAGGTTTGGTCAGAGGTGAAAGAAGAAGTAAAAATGAGAAGGCAGCCAACGCGTTGCGTGATCTTGTCGTGAGTACATGGGGAGACAGAGGGGTGGAGGTAGTGGTATTCCAGCGTCAGGACGAATTCATAACAGAGTCATAATTGCGGGGAACGGTGCCGGGGCGGTATGCATAATCCCGCAGTTAGCAGTTCTGCTTAACGATCCGCGAGAAGCAATCCCGACGCTTACCTGCCAAGCCTCCTGCAGGGTGAAGGCGTCCCGGCACAAACCTCTTTTCTCTCTCACCCCTTTTCTCCCCGTCTCCTCTCCTCTCCTCTCCTCTCGTCTCGTCTCGTCTCTTATTACCTATCCTTTATCCTTTCCATCTCTCCCTTTTCCCCTTTTTCCTAGGGTTCCCTCGAAAGTGAAGTCAGATACGCGTGGTGGTAGTAAAAGAGGACGTGCCGTTGCGGTGGTAGAGGCGTGTGGCTTCGAACGCCTGAGAGTGACGTGGCAAAAACCGTGAACAAAGAGGGACGAAGAGAAGGACGAAGAGAGGGAGAAAGAGAGGGAAGAGGATGGAAAGAGGATAGTGGTGAGGTTCGTTAATTACAGCCCTCCGTAGCCAACGCCACCGCAGTCGACCGCGACGAGGAGAAACAGAATTGGTAGAGCGTCGCTACGCGTTACTAGCCACGCTAATATCTCTACCCCTTTCTCTATCTCTCTATCTCTTGTTGTCTCTTTCGCTCCTTTTACTAAACTACCCTTTACAATCGTTGATGCACCCTTTGATGGTTTATTAGACTTTCTTTCGCAAGATCATGGATCACCGCATGAGATATTTGCTTGTCAAGATTTCTAAAGTTCTTTTTTAGGTATATACAACGTTTTTTAATTAACTTTTTTTTCATCTGTTTTTATAACTATTACGTTTAAATTATAATTAAACAAGTATTATACGAATAATACGTTTTCATTACCAAAAATTTTAGATTAAAATTACTTTGAGGTTCTTTGTGTTTTGTCATGGGGTAAAAATGATTAAAGCAGCTGTACTCACCCGTATGTGTCCTTTGATGAGCTTTAAGATGTGAACTCTTTGTATATACTTTTTTGCATCCTAGAAATTGGCATTTGTGTATCCTGCGCTTTGTGTCAGGTGGGCTGTGCTCGTGGCTCCTCGCGTGATGCCTGTTGGATACCGTGCTCGCTGATGCATTTACACCTGTGTGCGCGTGTTGTGTGTTCGCGACCGCTGAGAAGCCATTTGCCGTCACGGAGATTAGTCTAAAAGACAAAGCAATAAGTTTTCTCATTGTTCTTGAACCGTTACAAAAAAAAAAAAAAAAGAAAAAAACAATGATCAGAGATAATTAGGAACAGATAGTAAAAATTATAATTATCGGATGGTTCTTCAATTATCAGGATTATCAGGAACTAAATAAATAATATTTTTTTTTTTTAACGAAATTATTACTGATATTAAGATCAAACTTGTTGTATTTTGAAAGATGTTGAAAAGCAACTTTTAGAATTGTCATGGATGTTACTTGAACGCACTTGCAACGGGAATTGGGAGAAAGTAGATACTTGAGTTTTACGAGGACTTACCTCGCGACGCTCTGCGCGTTACTGGTGGTAACCCTGACGATGGCACTCCTACCGGTTGTCCCATGAAGGTTGAGGTTGTGCACGTCGAGCATCGGACTACTGCTCGACGAGTGACTGGAGTTGGAATGACCTTGACCCGAGCCTGGACTCGACGGCGGTGTCAGGATCTGACCTTCGCTCTCGCACCCGCTATCCTCTTCTTCTTCGATCTCCTGTTATAGTAGTGGTCATTCTCATTACGCAATAGGAGAAAACACTCGTAATGAAACTCTTCTATTATCCTTAGTTTCTAACTAAGATCCTAATATTTAACAGATTGACATGGCTTTCTTTTATCAATCTTCTTACTAGAAAACTTTTCTATTGCAGTAAATATTGAAAATAATTTTGTAAAGCAACGATCAATAATATACCTCGTGTTCCTCATCTCCATATTCGCTTGGTTCCTTTTTAACAATAATCATTGAACAGCTGCTATGATGGCTCTCCCAAGATACTGTCGAACACCCTGAAATACCCGAGGACATCGATAGAGTATCGAAGTGTGGTTCGCTAAGATCCCTATCACGGCCATTGTGGTTGGGATCGCAGGGGCCAAATTTGTTGTAATCCAGACTAACCACTTCTCTCTCATCTGACGATGTTAAACCCTTCGTGACAGAATACAAAAAAAAAAAAAAGCTTAAATTTGAATCGGAAAAGACTTCTAACAACTTCAATAATGAATACAAAGGAAAAAAGTGAGATTTTTCGCTTTGTTAAGATCATTCTTACGGTTACTCACCTCCGTTTTGATCGGAGATTCGCATTGTAGAGGGGCGGTGAATGTGACTTTTGGGTCCCAGGAAAAGGGCGCCCTGAAATCTTCCAAGGTTTCCTGACATAATTCCATGGTCTCCTCTGGTGAGGACTTCTGTTGTAAGAACTTCGGTTCGTCCTTCAGGTACCTCTCCATCTCGTAGCATGTCTGAAAGAAGAGACAAGAGGGTTCGTTAGAGGGGTGGATACATCTTAGCCATTACGTCTTTGTGCTACGTACTACATAGATGCTGGAAATATCAAGAGACATATAAAATGAATAGAAAGAAATATATATTCGATTCCGTCTAGCTTAGAACGCGGATACATTTTTTTGTGGGTTTCAAATTGTGAAATAAATGTTGTCTAATTTCATAATATAAATTTATCTCATGACTAATGCTATTTCAATCTAAAAGACGAAGCTGGTACCTAAACAACGTAGAAAATTATTAGGCGAAGCACGTTATATATATAGAAGTACTTTGACGTAACTAGTCCGAAGTTAGGAAAGTTGGTAGTCTCTCCCGTAGGCTGTGCCAGTTTGGGCTATAGTTCCTCGGAGAGAGTGCAAAGTTATAATATCTACTGGTAGGAATTGTGCAACAACCATAACCCCAAATGAGATTACGTCGTCCTAAACCTAGTCAAGTCCCATACAACTCGCCAGCATCCCTACTGACTTCCTTCGGACAACGTGTCCGTGTTCCACCTATAACAAATAGTTTTCCTTTCGATCCTCTAACTAACCAAACAACAATCTTTCGCAAGTGATATATCCATTTTTTGCCGTATTGATATATTCCAAAAAAATAATAACGAATTAATCGCACGTACAATAATAGGAAAATTCTCTTCATCTCTGTCATCATTGGTTTTGTATATTTTACTAAAACTACCGCAACCCTTACGATACGAAAAGGATCAATAAAGCAAGGGGGAATCAGCTGCGATTATAATCTTGCTTAATACCGTAAAGACCAACATCGGCATCGGCATTGGACGCGTTTCCCAATCATCGTAACGCTAATCGAAGCTACGAAATAGGAAACGTGACCAAACGCTGTAATATCTTCGCATGGGGAATGGCTATCGACTAGAGAGCGACGACGAAAACGTCGATAGCAAAATGCCGCGACGCTTATCGATTCTCCCTTCTTTTTCTTCCTTCGCCATCATCACTCCCTCCTTTATCCTCATCCACTACTTCTTCAACTTTACTTCCAACATCGCTCGCTCACACTCTTTCACTTCTTCTTCTTCTTCTTCTTTACTCAAACTTTTGTCAAGCGAACGATGCCGAGAGGACAAGAATTTTCGACGTGGTTTTTAAAAAAAAAGCTAAGGCGTCGTTTAAAAAGGCCGTCCATTTTCTTGTTCGACAAGGATTCTTTAGCAGGAACAATGTGACATCGGCACGAAGAAGTTCGAAGAGTGCGCGTGCATGATGCCCTTTGATTCTTCCATCCATCCTCTCTTTCTTTATCCAACGTTGAAAATAATCGCTCTGGCCGACTTTTCCATTATTCACGATTAAAAGTTTGCTGTGGAAAGGTGAAGAAGAAGTGGTAAAGGGTAGGGAGGCGAAAAGAGGGAAGGAAACACTCCTCTCTAACGACGTTATTATAATCTTAAAAGGAATTTTATCAGCGTCTTGGTAACAGTCTGTTCTTGATAGATGCCGCTGCATAAATTCAGCGTTATTGCCTTTTATATATTTTTCATCATTTTTTGTGTGTTTCTATTTTCTCTCTTGCATACAATTTACAATGTTTACAGGTTATTTCTAACATGCGAATAAGCTTCATACGAATGTAGGAAATGTATAAATTCAAATTTTGGAGCGAGTAGTAATCGAATTTTCTGTTAAATATTTGCATTCCTATTGTTTTGTCATTCGTTTCACGATACTTCTAAGAGACAAGTAAGGAAATAAAAGAAGACTCGGAAAAATAAGCAAAAGCTTTTCACTTATAAGAGTTTGCCAGCGTAGCTTTACGACTTCTTCGAAGCTACTTGACCAACTCGTCTTTTTTACCATTGGATCCATTAAATACGAAACTGCGTAATAATTCAAGGAAGTTCAGGGCGCCTTCGTGGTCTATCACAATGGCCGGGAGGCCGTTTTCCAAGCAAGAAAGAATATCATCAAGTATTTCTTCGCGAAATCGTCCATTACGATTTTAGACGATGCCCACTGCTGAGTTTCTTAGAGTCTCGAATATATGATCTACGATTTCCATTGAAATTTCTAAAGCAAATGTCAAATGCAGTTGTTATTATTGCTAGCCAAACATTTTATTGAATAAATAATATTTGTAAAAGTCATAAGATAGATTTATTGCTAGACAAAATGTTATCAAACGATAGAAAATAATTCAGGGTCGAAAATAACAGCGTCGTTTATATAAATCGACGAGAAAAATAATCTCGATGTTACCGTAATAAAACAAACAAGACATAGCTAAGAAAACGAGAGGAGAAACTATAACAATGAAGTAGAAGAAATGAGAAAGAAGAGGCTGAGACTAGGAAGGAACGATTCTTGTTGCTTTTTATCGCAATTCCTCGCGTGTGAAATCCATGCTAAGTTATTTTCCCTTCTTTTATTTTTTCTCTATACTTCAACTGTGAATTCGATTCAGGCGGTAATCACTCGGCATGAGTTGAAGCATACAGTTGATACGGTAACGAGATTTCAGAAAGAAAAATGAATCATTCTAGGTGATCTTTCGAAAGAAGGGGAAAACTGAGACATCTGAAGAAAAAAAGAAAGATAAAGCTTAGGGAGTGACGAATGAGTGTCGGTATGTATACACGTAACGTGTGTATTAAGAAAAGCAGGAAATGCTGGAAGAAGAAAAGAAGAAACGAGACGAGTGGAGAAAAACAGAACTATAGAAAAAAAGGAAAAAATCTAGCTGCGACCTAGTTCACGAATACTAGTACTAGTACTATTCTAGTAGTGGTAGTAGTAGCAGTACTGTAAGGGGAGAGGTAATCTTCCGGCTTCTCCGTTCGAAGAACTGTACGAGCTAGATTCGCCTTTTCTCTCAGCAGATATCTCTCAGCACGTATCTAAGTACACATAGACACATAGAGAAACTTACATAGATGCATACACTCGGTTTCTCGCAATTTCACTGGGAAAGGAAAATGCGAAGTTCCGCAGTAATTCCGTGGGACTGTCATTATCAGAGCCGGTGGCTCGCTCGAGAGAAAATGAATGATAACCCTAGCAGAATTCTTGCGAATACGGTTCACGTGAACGCGCATTCCCGCGCGCGCACATGACCATCGAAAAGCTTTTCAGTTTTCCCCTCTTCTTATTCTTCTTCTTCTTCTTCTTCTTCTTCTTCTTCTTCTTCTTCTCCTTTTACTTCTTCTAAGGTAGTCCTACCAACGGTGGCAGCCTGCCAGGTCGTTAAAAAGATTCCCGCAACTTTAAGGGCGCCGTAAACCCGCGAATTTATCTCGCCTTTCCCTCCCAACCCAACCTCCCACCACCACTTTCTTTCTCTTTCACTCTTTCACATGCGCTTTCTTCTCCGGTACCGTGTCTCTTTAGCTTTCTTATTCTTATTTTTATTCTTTTCTTCTGTGAAGCTACGAAATTTTCGATCGAGCCGACGACGTTCCTTCTCTCACTCAGCCATTCTCTCATTCCCATCTTCCATCCTTTTTATTGCACCCATCTTTTTCTCCAAGCATCCTTTTTCTACTTATTCTTCTCTTTCTTTTTGTACTTTAGTCACGCTAAGAGGGCGGAGTCAGGTAAATTTCGAAAGGATCGGAGCAGATTTCGGACGAGGAAAACGATTAAATGAAATATATAGTCTCGTCTCTTCTTTTGGGTCATTGTGCCGCGTAAAAACCTTGCCAAAATGGAGATAACGACTCGACATTGGCACGTCACCTTGGCGCTACGATTTAACCGTACAATTCACGGTGCATAATTTATGTATTTACTCACTTCTATACTATGCGTTCGTTTACTGTTATTGCGGTACTTCCTAAGCTTCAAATATTCACTTTCTTTTATAATTAATCAACTTACATAAACAACAAAAAGTCATTTCATAAACGACGAATAATAAAAATGAACAGGAATGATAGAAACGCATTTTTAGAATACTTCCTTCATTTTTTCGCACTTACAATTAATAACCCAACATATTGTAGAGAAGAAAATATTCTGAGAAATTCGGGATGATTCGCGGAATGAGGATAAAGAAAGCGTGTAAAAAGAAACTTGCGAATGAATATAACCGTTTTGGTCCACCGACCACAGCAGTATCCAGTCAAAACTGCATCAGAAGGGCATGACGGTACTCAACAAATGAGAGGGAGAGAGGATGATGTCCTGGGGTCAGGGTTAACGACGCTAACAAGCCGTGGTTGAGTGACTTACGACTAATTCAGAGGCTCTGTTGTCCTCTTCTCACCACTGAACGATATCCCTGGACAGATGCCTCGAGTGCATTGCCGGTTCTTGTCCAACCAATAGAAATGCTATGCGGGCATCTAGCTAGTCTCGTTAAGGGCTCATCGTTCGTTCGCTCATCCTCTCTCTCTCTCTCTCTCTCTCTTTCCTTCTTAGCATGACCAAAAAGGAGAAGACATTTGCAATTGTTTGTTATTGTTGTGACGTCATCTCGTTAAGGATCTCCATGCGTCTAAGCTCGTTAACTGGCAATTTGTAACCACTGGGACTATGACGACGACGACAACGACAACACGAAGGAGAAACGCACTCGGTAAAGTAAATTCCCTTTGATATCGGTTCATCCGCTAAAGCGTGGAACCTGTTCAAGAAACGAGCTCAGTTGCTTTAGCCTGTAACCCTAACTACTAGTTTACGATCTTTCACAGACACATATATACACACACACATTACCTAAATGTAACACGATTTATTCTGACGTTAGATGAATACACATAAGAGATCGTAAAGTCTTCATAATTCAAGAGTGTCTCGACGTCGTAACACAGTAGTAGATAGTAGTAATTCTTAAGAACAAGTATAAACCGTGTTCATACTTAATTTTATTATCTGTAATTAATTGGTCATCTGAGTTATCTTTTCAATTGTATCTAGAGAACAGGTAATGTTAAGTTGTAGATTAGCGTAGGTGTAAAAGAACTAAGCTTGGTTTGAGTGGAAATAAA